AATAGAGAATTATTCAAATGTGCACCAGAAGGATTTCCAAAAGTTCAGGAAGATCGATTCAAAGAGTACAAGGCGTTTAACAAGTTGAGAGGCTTTATCAAGTACTGTTGTCTGGAGACTTTCGGGGAACACTGAAAGAACACGCACAATATTCTGAATTTAGCACAGAGAGAATTCTCTAGCCTGGAAGCTCCCAAGCAGCTGCCCTTCAGCCACAAACCCACTAGGGGGCTCAGGCGAGCCACTACACTAAGCCTTACATTTGCAATCCGGGGTCTTTTCATATGGAGGAGGTTTTCCTGCAATGTGGGTGCCGAGTTCCACCTGCAGCCGTTTCTCTCCAAGGTTCCTCACTGCCTCATTTCCGTGTTCTCCTTGTCATTTCTCCATGCCTTCTCAAACCACCTTTGATCTGATTTAAGAAGAAACAACGGGAAAACCACAGGAAGATAACAAATGGAGGACGAGGATGTGGGGAAGCTTGGAGGAAAATCAGTGTGTCGGCACCTGAACGACAGGAAAACCTCTGTGCATAAGAGACCCAGACAGCAAGAAAGGAACACAAGTTTACTTTGCAGGATTACTGATATAGCATATGAAGCACACGGAACAACTGATAACATACTTTATTATCATCATTCCTTGAACTTGCTAGGTCTCCTGAGCAAGGTCTGCTGAAATCATTGGGACTGGCTTCCAGGTGGTAACATTTAGACCCGCCTGAGGGGACACGAAGTGCCATTCTGACAGTTTCTCACCTAAGCAGCACCACTATGCACTGTCTGAAGCAAGCGCAGATCAGAGTTTGTTTACTCCATTGGTACCCTGCCTTTCTCCCTGATGGGGACCCAAAGCTGCTCTCATCGTTCCCCGGTCCTCCATTTTATCCTCATAGCAACCCTGAAGGGTAGGGTAGGCTGAGAGTGTGTGACGGGCCCAAGGTCACCCAGCAAGCTCCCATGACAAAGTGGGGATTAGAACCTGGGACTTCCATATCCTAATCTAACATACTAATCATTACACCACACTGCCTCTCAGTTGCTCACCCCCTCCCCGGTTTCTCCAACCCCTTTTCTTAAAATGCACCAGTCAATCTTAGCTCGTTAGTTGACTCATCAGAGTGCACCTTGATAGAAATACAATGAATGAGATCTCTTTAGTATTAACAGCCTTTCAGGGCTCCCGTTCTCAGAGGGATCTTTGAGGCGATCTTTACATCTTCACAGCTTGCCTCCTACTCTACACCACTTTCTCATGTTTAAAAAATACTTGACAGACCTGAAATTTTTCTTTTGGAATATTTCTTCGCGCTCCCCTTGCTAACACCAGAGCTTCTTCGACTCTGTGGCTGGCCAAAAGATCCTGGATCTGTCTTTCCAGTGGCAGCGGCACCAAGATGTATACCCCTTTAGTGGTCGCCACAATAACTTTGCCTGGATTTTTTAAAAAAAGAAATATGCCATTTAAATTTTTTACCGTGACAGAGAATTTATCTAGATAAATTTAAATACAAAAGTTAATGAGATGCCTAAATTGCATAACATTTTCGAAGTGGAAAACACCTCACTGCAAATTCAGAACAAGACCATGATAACTTCTGTCTGAGAGCACCCTAGGCAATGGTGCTTTACCCCAAATCAGGATGGCTGGGCGTGTCTTCTTTCTCTTAAGGACAGGGCCTCCTACCCTTAAACACCTAGTAGAGTACAGTCTGGGGTGTTCCCTCTAAGCTGAGTTAGTGTGAGCTAGATCACAGCTTTTTAGCCTCCGGCTCACACGTTTTTGTCTCAGCTCATGAAGGATGGCTCCAGCGCAAACTAATTTATGCAACAGCCAAATCGCTAGCTTACAACTTTAATGCCAGTAGCTCACAAAGCAGATTTTTTTGCTCACAGGGCTCCACAGCTTAGAGGGAACATCAGGACTGGTTTCAGGTTTCCTTGGACTGGAAAAAAATTTGTTTCTGCAGAGGCCGATGTTTTGTGGTTGCTCCCACGGGCACCTCCTTTTCCTGCCCTCCTGCCTGCCTAAGTGTCCTTCTTTTTCCCTTTCTCCAATGGCCCTGGGCAGCATAGGGCAAGGCACCTGCCACTGCTGCCTAAAACACCACCACTCTGCACCACCTGCACACCCTTCCACCATGGCATACTGGGTGGTGCATATGGCAGGAAGCATGGGTGGTGAGACGCCAAGCAGAAGGACAAGGGGAAGGGCACACGGGCAAATGACAGGGCAGGCACAGGGGCAACAGGTCGGTGGCAATGGGCCCCACACCAGAGGCCAGAGGCCCTGGAAACTGACCCACCTTAGGGTGTTCTGATGCCGGCCCTGAGTGTACAGTGTCTATAGTACAGTGTACAATATAGTATTCCTCATCCTGCCCCATCCCAAGTACTTAATACCATCTGACAAAATCTGTAAGTCACATATTATGTAACAGTTACTGCAACGTAAATAAGCAAGATGTGCCCTGACCTGGGTAGCCCAGGCAAGCCCGATTTCGTCAGCTCTCGGAAGCTAAGCTGGGCTGACCCTGGCAAGTACTTGGAAGGGAGACCTCCAAGGAATACAAGGGCCGGGATGCAGAGGCAGGCAATATCAAGCCACCTCTTTGAAACGTCCAAACCCACTAGGGGTTGCCAGAAGTCAACCATGACTTCCAGGCGTACACACACACAATATTCACCAAAAAAGAAAAAAGAAAGAAAAAGTAAATAAGCAAGATGTAATTACAAGCACACTTTACTGTGAATTCTCTTATGATCATCCTGAAAATACACAGTAAAACATTCAGGTGTGAGATTCTTTTGGTATGTTTCCTGGGTCCAAGCAGACAGAAGTACTGTGGCTGCTATGGAACACCATACATATCATTCACATGTGAAATGTTTTTTTAAAAAAAAACAGCACAGTAATATGTTTTTGACAAGTCTCTATTTTCATTAGTATTTCCAGATTAAAAACAAGCTAGACGTAAGTTTTCCCCACATGCCACAGTACAAGGCTAACTAGACCACACCTTCAAAGTCCTGCAGGATGTGACCGTCCTTAAAGGCCAGAGTCTGCTTCTGCTGCTGGTCCAGCATGCTGTGAACTGTGATGAACTCCTCATCGAGAGCGACTACGTAAGGAAAGCAGAGGGCAGCCCCAATCACGTTTTCCGACCAGTGAACAGGAGCCCGCTGGGAGATGCCGTCAACAGTTGCAAACATACCTGCAAATTCGTAAAAGGTTGTTATCAAACAGCTAGCTGATTACCTGGCTGTCAAATTCTCTAAAAGGGATCAGATTCCCTATCGTAAAGACTCAGTGTAGGAAGAAAGGCGGGGATAATTTCTCTTATGGCTGAGATCTTGGAATTTAATACAATCCTCTTATGGCTAGACCTAAAAGATTTTTTCAATTTTTTGCATATTTCTAACTAATTTCTAATTTGCATATTTCTAACTAATTCATTTTTTTGCATATTTCTACTGCACTCAAGCACTCCATGGCGCTATTTAGATCAATAGGTGCCAGGAGCAACTGACTATTCCATCAATTTATTTATTTATTTAAATGCATTTTCGAATCGCCTAATCCCCACAAAGTGTGGGGCTCTAGGTGATGTACAGATGTAAAAACAATAAAACCATAAAAACAATAAAACCATAAAAATGACCATCAGAACATATAATTCATTAATAGTGAAAAGGGGAAAAAATGTAGTTCCCTCCCATTTCAGGCCTGTGGCTGCTTCATTGGCATGGGGGGGGGGGTAGACCCTTCAAGGGATAGGGATCCAGGAAGTGGGCCAACCATGATATAAGCCGTCACTGTCCTCAACCAAATGCCTGGCAGAACATCTCTGCCTTACAGGCCCTGCAGAATTGCATAAGATCCCACAGGACCCTGATGTTGTTTGGCAGAGAGTTCCCCTAAGTCAGGGCCAAGAAGGCCCTGGCCGAGGATAGCCGGATGTCTCTAGGGCCAGGGGACCACAAGCAAGTTGTTCTGTGAAGAGTGTAATGCTCTCCCGGGGATGTACTGGAGGAGGTGGTCCCGCAGATCAAGCGATCCGCTGCCATTTCCTGGCATGAACGTAGCATACATCAGAACTTAAATCAATGGCTGAGCTGCTAATGGGTATTTAAATGAGTTATTTAAATTTAATTTTAATCTAGTTGGAGCCTGTATTTCATGATGTACAGTTTTATGATGATGTAAGTCGCCCTGACACCACTTTACGGGGTAGGGCGTGGTATAAATCTCTACATCTCTAAATAAATAAAAATAACGTCGTATAGAAATATTGATTTCTATAGGTTTCATGTCTCCCCTGGAATGCCTCTTGCTGATACCCTGCTGTGTTGATTTCCTGTTGAAGCCAGATGGCTGAACATTTGGTCAGAGAAGCTCAATTGCCATGCCATATAATCCTTCACACTTCCATGCTGGAAGCTAGGCCAGCATGTCAGAAACTGCACGTACGCTGTGGGAGTAGGGGTTTGGGGGACCACATGACTGCAGGTGTGGCCTTCAAGACTACTGACCATTCAGAAGTTGTACCCATGCAACCCAACAATTGGACACTCCCATGTCTACTCCAATTGGCCCATGGCCAGGGCTAATTTGGGGACGGGGATTGCAGTATATCTGGTCATTCCCAATGAGAGGAACTCTCTCTCTTCTGTTCCTGCTATCTCTGCTGCTCTGTGGACTTACCCCTGAAATGCTCTTGTCCTGCCATGTGGTCTGGGGGAGAACAAAGGATCCCCTTGTGCCTTAGAGCACATGAAGGCAAGGAGGGGATGTTCCTCCTCAAACCCCCTTGGGGGTACCTGGACTATTCCAATGGACAATACTGAACTCTTGGATGCTACCCTGATGTTGGTAAATATGCTTCTTACTGTTTAGTTAAGGCAAAACTTGCCTAGGCTTGTTATTTTGAAATCCTTATTAGTCTGTGCTAAATTCTCTACTGAATAAACCTTATTCTTGTTTATACCTAGTGTCTGTTTTGATGTGTAACTGAATTCCAAGCTAAATCTTGCAGCCTAAACCGCTGACCAATTGCGCTACCTTAGTAAGATTAACTGCACAGCTCTGGATTGAGTTGCTAATGTGTTAAGTCCCAGAGGCCAGTTAAGACTCTGAACATTGCTCTTGGGCTGGAAAGGGACCCTAGTTAAAAAAGGTTCTGGTGGCTATTGTCTTGAAATCCAGAGAGCCTACATCTCTGGGTGATTGAGTAATGTTTTGAGCCAGTGTAGAGTTCTTTCCCCCATTCCTGGTCTGGCCTGGGGGGCAGAATCTATACAAACGTACACTCATCAATGACAGACCACTAATACCACACAAAAGCGGCTCTCAAGCTGTGGATGAGAGGACCCAAAAATGGGTGCCTTCCAAAGCAAGGAGGGAGGACTTTGCAAGGGAGACCTGAAAAGTACAGTAAATTTAGAAGAGGGTTCAAAAAGTTTGAGGCCATACAAGACGAACAAACAAAAATGGTATGTTAAGGGTCTGTGCTTTGGCTGCCTGTTCTAACCATTAGAAGGAAAGCCGTACTCAGGGACGCTCTGAAACCAACTACACGGTAGTTCTGAACACAAAGTGGGGGGATAATGTTTTAATGGTTTTTTTCTTCCAAACTAATGTGTGGAGAACATCACTCATGCATCCAGATTGAAAAGCATTAGATCCGTCAAACACAAACCCCACTCTCCTTGCTTGTCATCTTGTTAAGTGAGGGCAACATTTTAATTTGATAACTGTATTTTCTGGCAAGTATATATATATTCCAACGTCATAATCAGTAATATGAAGGTGAAGAAAAGGAATAAATGAAGCTGCACAACACACTTAACATTTGCACATAAACAGGCTACAAGTTTCTTAAAGTAAAGGTAAAGGTTCCCTTGCTCGAAAGCCAGTCGAATCCGACTCTAGGGTTGCGGTGCTCATCTCTGTTTCAAAGCCGAAGAGCCAGCGCTGTCCGAAGACGTTTCCGTGGTCATGTGGCCGGCATGACTAAACACCAAGGCGCACGGAACGCTGTTCCCTTCCCACCGAAGTGGTACCTATTTATCTACTTGTAATTTCTTGCTTTCGAACTGCTAGGTTGGCAGGAGCTGGAACTAGAGACGGGAGCTCACTCCGTCATGCGACACCCGGGTCTTGAACTGCTGAACTACCGACCTTCCACAGCCTGCAGTTCAGCGTCTTAACCACTTGAGCCACCGCATCTCCACAAGTTTCTTAAGACTACCTTAATTAAAGCCACATATATGGCAAACAATCTGATACCTGAAGTAACGTATGAATTGATTTACTGGATTGGTCCCTTTCTGCCAGAAGCCAATTCAGTGCTTCTGGAAGTTTAGGAGCAGGACCTTTCTATGTTTGTTCTCAGCCTCTGATGTTCACCATAAAGAACAGCCGTTTCAGCTTCCTAATACAAAGTAGGAGGACCAGAGTGGACTCTCACCTTGGCAACTGGCCTGTTTACTCCATGTGTCACTGGTCCTATTTCAGGGACAGCTCAAGATTTTACATGCATTTTAATCTTACAAACCAAACACCTGGACAGTCGAACCATAAATCAACAAAGAATCCAGTCTTCCCCCCAGGAATTTTTATAAATGCTTACAAATGGCATTTGCTTATAGAGACAGCTTTATTTCTATAATCTGTGAGCCAAATTCAAGAAGGTAAACACTGCAAACCAGAAACAGGCTGCTGTTGAAGACCTGAATCAGCAAGTAAGCTACAATCAATGTTCCCTCTAAGCTGGGGAGGCTTGTGAGCAAAAATTCTACTTGGTGAGCTACTGGCATGAAAGTTGTGAGCCAGCAATTTGGCTACTGCATAAATTAGTTTGCTCTAGAGCCTTCCTTCCTGAGCTGAGACAAAAATGTGTGAGCTGGAGGTTAAAAAACTGTGAGCTAGCTCACAGTAACTCAGCTTAGAGAGAACACTGGCTACAATTCTTCCTACATGAGAAATTCCAAGTAGTCTGTACCACATATATCCCACTGTCATTTCAATGAAGCCAACCAGGGGTACTGAGCTCAAGAATATTCTCTTGTAGCAGAAACGCCGTGGCAGAACTCTTCACAATTTAAGCCATGGCGTCAACCATGTAATGGCAGCATTTGAAATCCCAAAACTCTTTCTACAGTCAACTACACAAGACATGGACTATGACTTAGCATCCTGGTCCTATCCTTGGCATATTTCACAGAAACACCCTTTTTTCTGCTTGTCCATTATATGGAAATAGGATATCATCCACTGAGAAGTGGGATCGGGACTTCTCAGACTTCTGCACAAAGGATCAAATCTGTCTGAAGCGAGCTTTGTTCGGTCATGAAGAAAAGCACCTCCCCGCCACCACCACCACCAAGGACAGAAGAGACCCCTGCACCTGAAATCCCGTCAAATGTGACGCAACGAGCATTTCAACCTCACCTAATCCTCCAGGTCCGGCCAACAGGAATTCTTGTCTGCCTATTCTTTTCACAATCGGTCGCCTCTCTTCACTGGAGTACGGAAACAGATCCTGGGAGGCTCCGGTATTGTAATTCAGTATAATGTACTGGGTGGTGAGGGCGAGACATAAGTAGTGGCCGTCCACAGCCACGGCACAGGGCTGCTCCTGAGTGAAAACCTCCTTCACGATCTGGACTCTGTCCTCGTATACCAAGAACAGCTGGATGGTCCTCCGTTTGACTGAAACAATACACACCTCGACACAAAACGGGTCCCCGCTCACGGGGTTCTCATTCAACGTGAACGTCACCGCTCCCTTGATTCGAGCCCCCGTGGGGATGGGTTCCAGGTTCATCATGTTCACAAGCATGATGGCACTGTCGCAAAGCACCAGAAGCCTGTTGAGCGCCGAAGCCGCTTTCAACTCGCCCACGGCCTTTCTCACGCTTAGGTATTTGTGCAGCTGTTTGGTGACAGTAAAACTTGTTTTTTCATCTGGGGAGTTCTTTTCTTCCAAGAGGAAGTGATAAATGGAGCCGTCGTTGGTTCCGATGTACAGGTTCTTCCCACAGCATTCAATGCATTCAATGTTGATCCGAGCTTTGTCGCCCATCAGCATTTCCCGCTCAACTGCGGGGACCAGCTTGAAGGCCTTGACACTCATTGCGCTTCCCAGATGGTCTGCAAAGAGAGAGAGAGAGAGAAAGAGAACATGGAACAACAACATTTAAAATTAATCAGCCCAGACCTTCAGTTCACTAACATTCCAAAAACAGGTGCACTTTCCAAAAACAGAACAACAACAAAAACCCACAGACGTTCTGACTGTCATAAAAGGGGCCCATGCAAGTTACACTTCATTGTTCTTGCGCTGCTGCTGGATACTGCCTGCAGGGCCAGCTCACTCACTAGGCGAACCCGGCGCTCGCCTAGAGCGCGCCGGCCCATAGGGGCACCAAACTGGCACCCCACCCCCCATCCTGGTTCAGCTACAAACACTACTGAGTTTTAAACATGTTATGATCTTTCTGATGATATGAACACCAATTCCACCAAAGAACTTAGCCCTCTGGGCACAGAAGGGTCACTCAGCTGAGTCAAAGAAAAATCTAAGTAGGGGGGCTATTACATAAGGACACTCAAGTTGCAACTGACTTATGGCAACCCCAGCAAGGAACTGTCAAGGCAAGTGAGAAGCAGAGGTTGTTTGCAACTAATGCCTTTCTTTGCAGAGTCTTCCTTGGTGGAAGCCAGATGTGCAAAGCAGGCAAAGTTACAAAAGCAAAAGTGAGTGTTAAGAGCATAGGTGCCAGGGGAACGAGAGGTCCCCGGGGTACAGATCCAATTAATGGGTCCAAGCCGTGGTGGGCGCATGGGGGGGGGGGCACAGAAAGGGATCCTCGCCTAGGGTGCAAAATAAGCTGGGGCCGGCCCTGACTGCCTGCACACAATGAACATGTTGCTGCTTCTGTTCCAAGCCCCTAATGAACTGCTTGGCCTCCCCTTTGAACTACTGAGCTGTCTGCAGTCTCAAACCACCAGAGTGACAGAACTGCATCATATTCCACTTTAATCATACACATTTACCTGAATCTTTTGACCAGCATATGAGTCACTAACTATGGCACACTCTTCCCTGTTTTCATCTAATTTGTGCCCAAGTTAATTATACATTATGGCTTCAATCCTAAAGGCTCTTTCCAGGAACCAAACCGCACGGAATAACACGAGGCTTATTTCTGCGCAGATCAGTTTAGGATTGTTCTCTGTAACTATTCAACAGTTTAATGGAAATAATAATATGGATATAAAAGTCATAATGGTTTGATTAGACAAGGGTTCCACAACGGACACCCTGGCACCCACTAACACCTTTCCTGGCACCTGCCAAGTGTTTTGTTTTTTTTAATCATCTTTATTAATTTTAAATTAATGTACAATACAGCGTAATACAGTGCATCCATCTACAAGAATGTCATCTAAATGGAAAAAGTTGAAACCTACAAGGTTAACCAAGTGTTTTAAGAAGGTGGGCGGGGCCAGGTGGGGCTTTTGCCCAGCAGGACCTCTGATTGGCCACTGGAGATCTGACTCGTTGAGCAGATTCAAAAAAGCATTGCTTTCAGGGGCAGCTGCCACAACACAAGGATCTTCACCGCATGACTGAAGGTAAGCTGTGTGTACACAAGAAAATATTTTGAAATAGTATGTTCATTTTTTAAAGACATCCTCTAAGCAGAGCTTCTTGCCTCAAATGTTGAAGTGTTACTATTAGAGTTATGCATAATCTCACTTCCTGACATTTTGTGATTGGCTTCAGTGTTCCCTCTAAGCTGAGTTAGTGTGAGCTAGCGCACAGTTTTTTAGCCTCCGGCTCACACATTTTTGTCTTAGCTCAGGAAGGAGGGCTCCGGAACAAACAACAAACTAATTTATGCAGATTGCTCGCTCACAACTTTAATGCCAGTAACTCACAAAGTAGAATTTTTGCTCACAAGACTCCACATCTTAAAGGAAGTATTGACTGGCTTCGTGGCTTCACCTCCCTGTGTCAGAATTCCAAAGGTGCATGTGTGCTCAAAAGGTTGAGAACCTCTGAATTAGACCATTAAAAACACAAGAAGAGTGCTTTAAAACAAAGGGAAAGA